TCATATGAGCGTATGGATTTTTTGCGATATTTTTCACAATTTCTATTTTTAAAAATTACCTATCGATAGTTTACTTTATTCTGATGAATAAATGTCATTACAAGTTTTTCTCTAAAACTGATAGTTTGGCTAGAAAAAAATATTTTCTATCTACGCAGTACGCCGGCATCGGATCGGATATAGTGACGTCATCGTTCCCGGGCGGTCAGTGAACTTTTTTAGTAATTTGGCCATAACTTCGTCAATTTTTGTTATAGAACAAAAATTTTTGGACTGTATATTAAGGATTTCTTAGCCCTATAAATCTGTATTCACAGCTAAAAATCGAAATGATCACCATTTTGGAGTACATACATAACTAAAAGTACCATTAAAAATATTTTAAGACTCGTTATCATTATATTTTATAACCAAATAATAGTTGGTCACCTCTGGAATTTCATTTTGACAGTGACAACATTGACATTTTTAAAAACGACTCCATTTCATAAAGCTATATTTTACCGTTGTCGCTTATGATTGGTTTACAAAATAAACACACCGGTAGCTGGCGAGTGTTGATTGGGTGATACAGAATTTGTGACATTTCTGAGAATGGAGGGGAGTAGAGGGAGCGAGTGTTTTTTGTTGTTTGTGAAAAACATGTGGTGATGGTGTCAGTTGCTTTCATGAAAAGTGTTTTTCAAAATTATTTATGTATTTAATCAGTCACCAACTGTAAGGAATTGAAACAAACTTTATAAAGGTACCTAACTGTTAAATCTTATTCTTCGAACATTGTGTTTCAGCAGACTTTTTGGTTATTAATATTTTAACATCAAAATGTCTAGAGCTCTCAATCTTATTTCACAAATAGTATTACAAAAGCCGCAGCCGAGTTTTGGATCTGTAAGATTATATGCTAGATGGATGAACAGGAATCCGGCTAAGGTTCTGCTGCCGTTTGAGCCCGAAAGTAAACCTAATCTGAAGAAGGAGAAGGTGATAAGTTTGGATCCCTCAAGTTTTAAAAAGTTTGAGGATAAGCCACAAGTGCCTAAACAACCGGAAAAGGCTGCCCCTAAAGTAGCCCAACCTCAAAAGAAGCCCAAAGAAATTAAGTCCAAAAGAGATGAAGTATTGAAGAAGAGACTCTTTTATCTTAGTCAGAAAAAGGTGTTTGATGATAATAATGATATTATTTTCGAAAAGCTCAAAGAAAATGATGGTCGGATTAGGTAAGTGGTGAATTTTTGTGATTAAGTTGTAACTTTTTTTAACAGTACTGAAATATTCTTGAAAAGCAATATAAAAATTGTTATGTCTCTTTTTATTTTATAGTAATCTCCTTGTGAAGTTGAAGTCTAAAAAAGACAGACAACGTATGGGACAGGTGTTGGTTGAAGGCTGGAGGATGATCGTCGATGGCTTGGAAGCAAAATGTAAATTAAATTATGTTATATTTAGCCAAACTGAAGACTTAAACAATTTGAGGCCATTTTTGCCTAAAACAGGAGTAGTATTTTATAAAATACCTTACAAAGAGATCAAATTATGGTCAGACTTGGAGACATCCCCAGGAATATTTGGTGAGTTATTAAGTTTTTGATAAGCATGAATTTGTATTTTTATTTAAAGCGAAGAAGTATTTAATTTCCTCTCCAGAATTTAAGCTCTGCTTCATTTGAGGCATGTGATAGTTGGACTTTTTTAAATATAAATAATAATATGTTCTATTTATGCCCTAAATAACAATCTCATTTTTTTCAGGTGTATTTGAAATGCCAAAACCGGAGAATGTAAAACAATTATCAAAACCTTTGCCATTCAGTTTAATATGTGACAATATTAGGGTACCTGGCAATTTGGGAGCCATTCTCAGGGTAGCTGTAGGATCTGGGTGTGGAAAAGTTCTTCTTTCTAAAGGTTTGTATAAAATGAGGTCACTGCTTTATGCATTGACTTTATGTTACCATATACATTCTGAATAAAATACTATGTATGACCATAATATGCATAGTAGATAAGATAAGAATATACTTTTTTTGTACAAAACGTTTTTTTAACATAAACTAAATGTGCTTTACAGGTTGTGTAGATCTTTGGGATCCAAAAGTAATCAGAAGCGCAGCTGGTGCTCATTTCCGACTACCGATTCACAGCTCTGTTGAGTGGGAAGAGATGCCAAAATTGCTTGAAGAAGACACATCAATATTCATTGCTGACAGCAATGCCAGGGTTTATGAGGAAACCTCAGATAACCTTGTAGAGGATGGGGATATTCCAGTTTTACCATACTATGGTGTTCAGTTTCCTTCTTTCAAGCATGTCACCCTGATAATTGGTGGTGAGACTGAGGGGATCAGTGAGAACAGTTATGAGTAAGTTATTTAAAAAAGCTATTATTGTATGCTACAAAATATTTGTGTAGCTGTATTAGGCAATAACCATTAGTGCCACTGTAGAGTAAGGTCTTGTCACTTGCTAGTTGCTAAGAGTGCCGTCAACCAGTGAACTCTGAACGGTAGTACGACGATCGCATTTGCACTCACTGTGGTCACTATAAGAGTAATGTCCAGTCCAGCCAATTGCCAGTGGCGCCAACTAGTGAGCACTAAGATAATACAGTAGTCCTCCTTATAACTCAACCTTAAAATACTGATTGTGCCTCCAACTGAAGTTTTATCTAAAACCACAGTTTGCACTGCTGTTCATTATGAGCAGTCATCAGATGTAATAGGAAGAATGTATCCTTTATTTCTTTGTTAAAAATAAAATTAAATAATACTTACTAAAAAAGCTAAGTAAGCATCCTAACTGGCAACACTCACGTTTATTAATTAAAACATCTTTTTTTTTTCAGATTAGCAGCACAGAAGAATGGTTTAAGGCTTAATATACCACTCCAAAGAGGAGTAGACAGTCTTAACACTGGAATGGCGCTGTCAGTTATTGCGTTCGAAATCAGGAGGCAGCTCATAGAAGCTTGGACCAAGGCCAAAAACGACAGAATAGCTGCCCATGCCACATAAGGAATTAATTGTTGCCCATTGATTGTAAATAGTATCTCATGTAGAATATAGTGCTATTATACTAAGATATAAATGTGTATTATGTCTTTTATTATGTACTTTATATCATACATACATATGTAGTTAGATAAATCTGTAGGTTAGAAGTAGTTTGCATGTATTATTTTACCTTCTAGATGGTACCTTATTACTTTTATGATTGACATACTATTTGGTATGTTGTTTCAGTTTCAAATTCATAACACCAAAAATGGTATTTTAACTAAAATAGAGAAACGGGTCTCAACGCTCTCATGGTCTCTTTAGTTGTGCACCATAAAAAAATATCGAAAATGTATGATATGAGTTTTTTTAAGTAGTAAGATATAAGATACATTAAATTAGCGACAGGCTCCTCATTTAATTATGTTATAGTCTCGAAATAACTACACGAATAAGTTTTTTTTAGATACTCGCAAAAGACTTATCTGGATTGCCCCCAGAATCGAACCCAAGACAATAGAAGTGGGCGTGCTTTCATTGAAAAGTTCGCCATATCACGCAAGGGTGGTTTAGTTACCCATCAAACTGTAGTCTCCGTTAGATGGCGCTAACCACCTGTACCTATTTCATAATATTTGAAAGTAATCTTACATAATTATCAAATTGAGGTTTTAATAAAGCGTTTTAGCCCTTAATTGCCCTAAATTAAACTTTCACACATTGAAGTAATAAAGTGTACCTATGCATGGTTATCGGGAGATACGCGACAGTCTTAGTTGATAAATAGTAAATACGGCCCTTTTCATGGATCTGTAGTAGAGCGATCCAGAGAGGTTTGCATCTAATAGCGCCCTGAAACATTTATCAGGCAGTCCAGGCATCAGACAGGTCATATATCTCACTGTTTTGCCAGATAAAGTGGTCTCTTGATATTAGAACTTCATTTATGGATCTTAATTCATTTCGACTTTGTAGAAAAATCTTAGGAATTTCCGCCTCTCTCCCTAACGTCTTGTCAGAATATACGCACAAAAAAGGTTACGAAATTGACCTCAATAAGATTCTACGCCATAATAACTTAATTTACTTGGCAAGTATATGCTGCCAAGTTACGCTGACGTCACTACAACTGCGTATGTTTGTAGGCCGAGATCCAACTCGGCTGTCCCCTAGACTTGATCAATGGCAAAGTACGACGGCCTATTAGCTAATTTATAGCGCCATAAACAATTGATGGTGTGGCCCTGTGGATAGATTCACAGTCGCGTTCTTATACATACGTAGTACTTACCTACCTACCGGTCTGATTACTATGCAAAAGGCTTTCGTGAACAAGTTTTCTGCATAGGTACTTTATCGATCGTGAATAAAAAATTGTTTCGAAATAAACTTCATTATGTATTTATAAATAAATAATCTATCGTGTTCGTAGACAAATAAAGGAATAGATATTGCAATTTATATGGGAAATACATTTTATAAGTTAGTATCTTACAAACTTTACGCTTATAGAGCGAACTATGGTGCGCGGGGGTATTAAATAATTTCAATGATTTCATTATATTGCAGAAAATTGTTGCATGCAAGTAGGTAGGTACTAATTTTTATTAAACAATAACAAACTGAATTTGTACAGGTAATTTACAAACTTAAAAACTATACTATATACAAAAAAAAAATACAATATTTACAAAAAAGGAAAATAAAAGTACTTAAATGTTAAATATCAGATTTTTTTACTAAATCTATTAAAGTATAAAAATCTCGCGTGACATTTTAAAAATCTTCAAAAGCTTTCTTAAACGCAAATTGGTGGGCGAGCTTTCATGGTCCATAGACGTGGCCTATCTCAATCTCGCGGAAGGAATTAGGGAATTTTTCAAAGGAGAATTCGTAGTACCTAGTTAAGGATGTGAAATGTAGGAAGGAGGCGTCGTCGGTCAATACTGGAGGTGGTGCGGCGCGGGAGCGGTGCGCAGGCGTGGCCCCTTCCCCGGCGCGCCGGCCCACTCACGCAACTCGCGACTCGGCCGCCGTGCGCTGCGATCGCGCGCGCTGTCTCTCGCCGCTCGGGCCATGTGTGATGTTTTCATCACAAGCCATCTGTCAACCGTCGACTCTCGTCTCCCGACATGAATGAACAACTTATCTAAACGCGAAGATAAGTGCGCCGCGGCTCGTAGCACCCACCAAAGACAGCTTTCGCCGAGTGTCCAGTTTTTCTCGTAAGCTCGTGGCCGTTGACACTGCAGCGTGCGGATCCCGCAGTGCGCGAGTGTGTGGTTAATTGGCGAACTCGAGGGCGTCAGCTGAGTCGCGTAAACATTGGCGTTGCATAGCCGCACTCTCGGGACTGTTGCGATGGCTGGTGCACAGATAACCTCTGCCTAAAACTAGATCGCACCTCGTGAGGAGCTCAACATGCGGCGTCTAATTCTACTGTTATTGACAGGTAAGATTTAGTTCTAGATTAGGTTTAATTAAGTAGCATAGTTTGCATATGATTTTATTTGCTTTGCCTGATCGTCTCTCCTGAGTTTAAAACTTTACCTTAGTTCCCGCCTGTTTTGTTTCTCTCTAATTTGTTTGTTTATTGATGTTAAAAGTACTGTTATATCAGCTTTGAAATCTGGTTTTTCAAGATTGATAAGAGTTTTACCTCGAAACAAGTTAATCAAGTAGTTCTTCGCATAGATCCAACTTACTCATTCACAAGCTTTCGTAGCGTAGTAGAGCTTTCGGCTCTCGTAGATAAATGAATGAGAATTAACTGTATTAGCAACGATTGCATGATAAGTAAGTAGGTATTGGACTAGTAGGAATTAAAATGTTTTAATAACTGATACGTTAATCAGTATAAATAAAATGATACATCTTTTGCTTCTAAGGTAGTGTTCTTATGTTTTTATGGTCCATTTACTGACCATCATTAAGTTTCACATGGTTATACCTACCTACTACAGATCTTATTTATACCGTGTTAATTACGCACCTGTTACAAATGTAACATCTGCAACCCATTCTGATAAATATCCTCTCCAACGAAATCACAGCACGAACTCGCACGCACGTTCAACCGATCCAAGCACGCACGCGCATTAAACCTGCAAAAATTTACTGCCGTAACATTGTCATGGCTCTCTATTTATCATGGCTCGTGAAAAATAAGTAATAAGACTGCCAAAAGACCCTCGTCCCGCCGCTCGAAGGAACAAATGGGACGGTTGGAGAGAAAAGAGCAATTTTTTGCGCGCACCAATCTCATTTCGTATGAACAATTGCGGTTATTCTTTATTTATGCTTGCGCTCTTACAAATTACGATTTTAGTTAGCGCTTAGTTTGCGGGTAATCTCTTATTTATTGACATGTTTATTAGATGAAAGGCACGGTTTTAGTCTACTATTTCTCTATTACGTAGTTGTGGTCGGTCTCTGAGACTATTGTTCCGAACATCTGCCGGTATCGTCGACGGCGATTGGTTCCGCCGCGTTAGATAGTTATGATGCAGCAAATTCATAGCTTCAATTTCGATACACCTTTGTATCGTAAAACGAATGGTTTTACGGTAATCAATCAATTAAGCCTCCTTACCTCCTTTATTAGTAGGCACTAAACAGCTCTCTCTCGCAATTATGTGAACGTTCGTTTTTCTATTTTGTAAGCCATTGATCGAATAATTAAATTTTATTAGAAAACTGTACTTGGTTATGTTCTTACATATTTTGTTTCAACGCTTCTAATATCTAGTCCCTTTCTATTAAGCTTTTATGTAATGAATCGCTGCCTACGGGTTCTCAATTTAATCTTTGATCTTGGATTTACAAACTTTAACCAATAAGAACTATCTAATAATTTTGTTTTAAAGGTTTAAGCCCTTGTAGCCCTAGCCCGTGTTTGAGATACTTGATTTCGTCTTTTAAGAATAGGGACATTTAATTAAAACTTTATAAAAGTCAAATTCTATCAGTACAAAACTTTGCAGCTTAAATTCATTTGAATTCTAACTTAAGGGCTGATTTTTCAATCGTCAGATATTTTTTAACTGAAGAATAACCTTGTCATTTTTACATATTTCCCGTACTAAAACTGTCAATGTGCCAAACTTATTCTTCAGTTAAAAGTTATCCGACGGTTGAAAAATCAGCCCTTAGTGAAATAAGATTGTGTTAGTTAAGTATTTAAAATTCGAACACCTTGAATCTCAAAAAAGGCTGTTATTTCTTTATTTATGGCAGGCTGCGACAGGTGTTCAATGCAGGTAGAACGCGCATCGGTTTGGCCGGCCGCCCGAGAACTATTGTTCAAAAATTCTTCCAAGTTTATTTTGTACCTACACTAAAATACCCGTGCGAAAATTTTCACAAAGAATAGCTCTGTCCGCATGTCAAAGGCAACTCGGTACTCGCGTAGTAACTTGCCGTACCTATACAATCATGAGAAATTCTTATTGTAAACGTACCTCTACATAATACATACGACTTTCGTAATATCTTTCTCCGTTTAGTTTCAATAGACTCGTATCCGTGAGTCTTTTTGCGCGATCCACAAGAAATTGCTATTGGAAATTGTTCTTGAGCGATCTGTCGCCAAAACCATACCGAAGGGAATTTGATAAATCGCGAAGTTTCGCCGTGAAAAAATACAAAAGTTCGAAAAAAAAAAGCCGACCTCCGTGCACCCTCATCAATCTACTGTTATTGAATTTGCTAGTCCACATCGAGACTGACAACTTTTAAAGCAAGTCACAAAACTTTTCCGTTTATAATATTTAACTTTGTTCCAAGGTAAACTGTCTGAGCTAATCGAACCGTTTTGTTAAAAGGATATTGCTCGGATACAAAGTTATATTATTAAAGTGCTTTGATCTAACTAAAAGCTCAGATTATCTTCACATTCTTTCTGTATTTGTATAGGTACTTACTACTCTACATTATTTGATGGCAGATAAGATAAGATAGATAGATAGATAGATAAGATAGATAAGAGTAATATAGAGAGAGATCTCATAAAGAGTCTATTTAAGTAGGTACTCATACTTAAGTAAGATATTTAAATAGAGCCATCTACTTTGTATTTACTTAACCTACAGAAAAACAGTGAATTTTTTTCAGTGCAAATTGGCTTTTAACTTTCACTGCAATTTAACACCCTACTCCATCGTAGGCATGATGAATAATAATGTTTCTGTGAAACCGCAAACAGGAAACAAAAGTAAATCCATATTTTACGTTCGAAAAGTATTGGGTACAGTTTCGCAGCTGATTCCTTCCGCCGCAATATTTTTTGTTTCATTTCATTTCGAGTAGCGGATGTAGACTGCACCTGGGCTTGCTTTAGTTTTTTTATAATAATTAACTTTGGTGCTTGTCTACACATCTAGTAGGTAAAAAAACTTTTTGGAGCAATATGTTTGTAACGTTCGTACTTTATTATCTAAATATCCCTGAGAAGATGCCAAAACAAGATGTATTCGTAATAAAAAGAAGCCATAAAACCTGATTGAACGCATCTTTTTATTTTATGCTAACGACACGAGAGTGACGGCCATATTACTGGAATACTGTGTGAGCCGCGTCTTTTGTAGATTGACAGAAAACGTATGGGCAAGCAATAAACTGCCATTATTTACGTGTCCCTTCGTCGGTTAGGTAACCGTCATTGAATTTGTTTGGAGAAACTTCACGGGCGGTTTGTTATGTCTATTTCGGGTGCTGACAGCGAGTGCATAATCGGAACGGGTGCAGGAGTCGATAAGTGGCCGGCGCCGACTTTCATCTCGGGTGTGTGTTTCTCACTCGCAGGCTGCGGCCGCGTCACTGCGCCGGCGTCTGCGCTGTCTACGCAAAGCGTAGGGATGCGTACGCGTCAGTTAAATTCGGGTTCTTTTTTTAAAATAATGAATAGATTTTTACACAAAAGGTACACATGCGACGGACTATGAAGCAAACGTTAAAAGATTGGTATGTGTTCGGGAACTCTAGCTTTTATCGGGAAAGAGGCGTTAACCAAAAATCAAGTAGGTAGAGCATTACTTTCTTAGGTATCTGCATGGATTCTTCCATCTTTTCCATTCCATTCTTCTAGAGCAAATCAAACTACAGGTTCGCTGCATCCCAAAATCAGTTCTGATACTTTCTTTTTAATGCAATGCTGCAGTTAGCCTAAAAATGTTAACACCAACCATACACGTACTTAAATACTTTAACAGATTACACTAGAAATCGATACTGCTATTTTCGACATAAGTGTTGCTCGCTCATCTCTATGTATGCGGGCAAGGGTCGCGCCCGGGCTCTCACACTATTTTTATGTTCTCTGATAACGGTTCATTTCTCAGCCTCATTCATATTTTTTGTTGGCAGACACATGGCGTTAATCAATCGATAGTTATCGTTTCTACTAATGTATCTATCTGCTAAGTGTTGATATTTTAACGGAGTCAATTTATGGTTAGATAGTCGGTATCTTATTTAACGATAATCAAGTAACTACATTCTAAGACTAGGTAATATGGTGTGCTATATTTTGTAGCCTATCTATAACTTCTACTGAAGAATCGACAAACATTGTCTAGGCTAGGATGCTCAATCATTAAAAACTATTCACGGAAATATGTAGCGCAGTCTAGGGATTTAAATAATCATCATAATCTATCTAACAGATCTAACAGTAAAGTGTTTGGTAACACTCAAATACAGAAAAATTATATTGTTACTCGTTTAAAGATATGTTATAAATGACTGCGATCTGCAATAAATTACTTTGGTCTGAAAGTCCTTGGCTTGGTCTCTAGGCTGATAAACGAAACGTCCCAACTTTACTGTGCAAAAGAAAATGATTTCCCAGTTGGACTACTTCGAAGTTTCCCTGAAAAATCGACTCATCTAAAATAAACTGAAGTGTGAAGAAAGGATCTCTAAACTTTGCTCATTTTGCTCATGATATACGATAACAATGACTTTCAAAAAGGCATTTATGTTAACTTTTATTGATTTTATTTATTAATCTTAATATTTACTACATACAGTACCTACAGACAGTTTTTGCTAGCTTTATCCAATAACACTATTAAGTATACTCTACAATGTAGAGTATATATGAATATAGATTCATCTGAAGGTGAAATCATACATTAAGATAAGCTAGCGGGTAAAGAAATATTGAATTGCATTGTGCAAATAAAATACAGAAGCAATTATAGATATTAACTTATCGTATTTACGTAACCCTTCGTTATCTGCGTAAGCAAAGCGTTTTTCAAAAGATGGCTACCTAGTTCAGATATTCTACGGTCACAACACAATATTAGATAAGAGACTTATTTCCCCAGGGTCATAGGAACGGTTCTATCTGCTGGGCATGTACAGTTGTGCCATAGGCTATGCAAAACGGTCGGACGTTTTATGATTGTTTCAGAATCGGCATAAAGAACAAAGAAGTTAAGAGCCTAA